AGGACAGCGGAAAGGGAATCGGGGCGGAGACCCGGACTGGTGATACCATGAAGGAAGATATGCTCGGGAATAGAATGGATTGATTAGTGAGATTGTACAGGGTGTACAATACGTAGGCAAGGATATCCTAGGGTTTATAGAATCAAGTACCCAATCAACGGAGATCCTTGCCTAATACTCAATCATCAACCATCAAACCCCCTGGGCGCCTAGGCCCATGTGGCCAGCCCATTAACCCTCTAAACCTCATTCTAACAGATCGAGGCCCTCCCCAGTGAGTCAGGGCTGGCGCTGGTCACCGGGCGACACTGGAATAGGGAGACAACTTCAGACCCTTCGAGCGCAGCTGCAGGAGACAAAGATGTGATCCCCGGCTTCAAGGATTCTGGGACAGTTTTTGCAGGAAGAACTTAACCTTCCCAGGAAGTCTGCAGTCCCGTATCTTCAAGGCGCCAGGATCAGGCACATCATCAACATGAAGGAGGCAATATGCTTGACTGTTGAAGAAAGAAGGGGACAGGGGGAGGTTCATGAGGTGCGAATCTGCCACAGCCGTGAGGGCGAATGGAGATGAGAAGACCATTCAGAAGGGAAAGCTCTCGGTGGCTACTGCAGTGAGCCGAAGTTGGAGGACAGATTCAACTCCATCAGAGAGAACATCACGGACACACAAATAGGGACTCTGTGAGAAAAAAAAGGGCTGGGAAGGCGTTGACTAGCGGATCAGACAACAGCCACCGATCCAGCCAGAAAGATGCTGTCCTACCATCTCCCAGCTGCACTCTGGTCAAAGAGGGGAAGCGTGGCAGCACATCTTAAGATAATATGAGCGAGGAAGGAGTTGGTTGCTCCTTCTTCTGGATTGGGCCCAAAGTTACGAAGAAGTCAGGATTTCCAAGGGTAACATTTGGGGAGAGCAGCTTGTGAACGAATTTCATAAGCAGACATTGATTTTGATCCTCTATATTACGCACACTGAGCCCGCTAGCATGTTTTGAAAGGCAGACACGGTCCCAGGCAATGAGGCATTGACCTTGGTTGCATTTTTCCATGCCTGTCCAGAGGAAAGCCAGACGCTTACCATCAATGGTTTCTCTTGTTAGAAGGAATGAAGCTCGATTCTATTCCTGGGGGCAACTGCCCAAACATGTACATGAGTTGGGCATATATGCATCTAAGCCCTTGTACAAAGAGGAAAATATGTTATACACCATATATATCTAACACCCCCCCTCAAATTCAGGGTGAATCACAAACACTGAGTTTGGAGAGAAAGAAACGATGTTGAACTCGCGTCTGCGCCTTGGTGAAGAAATCAGCCACCTGTAGCTCGGAGGGCACATAGCGAAGAGCAATGACATTATCCTGCACCTGAGCCCGAGTGTAATGTGCATCAACTCCAATATGCTTTGTGAGCTCATGCTTCACAGGATCACGAGCTATATTGATAGCACTGGTACTGTTAGACAGAAGAGGAGTGGGCATAGAAACTGAAACACCAAAATCCTCAAGTAACCATCGAAGCCAAGTAACCTCTGCTGTCGCAAGAGCTATAGCTCGCAACTCGGCCTCTGCACTCGAACGAGAGACCACGGTCTACTTCTTTGTCTTCCACGCAATGAGAGAGCCACCAAGAAAAATACAATAGGCAGAAAGAGAGTGACGATCAGAGTCACTAGCCCAAGTAGCATCAGAGTAGGCTTGGAGTTGAAAAGAGCTAGAACGCGGGAAGAACAGACGACGAGTAATGGTCCCACGAAGATAACGCAAGACACGAAGATGGCTATAATGGACATGGGTGGGAGAAGAAACAAATTGACTAAGAATGTGCACAACATATGAGATATCAGGACGGGTCACAGCTAGATAGACAAGACTCCCAACAATATGACGATACCGAGTGGGATCGGTGAGAGGTTTACCATCAGTAGCACGGAGGTGAAGATTAAGCTCGATGGGAGTCTCAACAGTGCGATGATCAGTGAGGCAAGAGCGAGCAAGAAGATCCTGAATGTATTTTTCTTGGGATAAGTAAATGCCATCAGAGGTGGAAGAGACCTCAATCCCAAGGAAATAACGAAGAGGACCAAGATCGAGACACATAAGAAACTCGTCACGAGGCGTGCCTTTGACAAAGGCAATATACTCAGAATCATCACCAGTGATAATCATATCGTCTACATAAAGAAGAAGAAGAGTGCGACCACGAGGGGATGTGTGAATAAACAAGGCAAGGTCATGATTGCTTGGGGAAAAACCAGCAGCAATGATCACAGAGGCAAAGCACTGAAACCAAGCACGAGGAGCTTGTTTCAGACCATAAAGAGAGCGACGAAGACGACAAACCATGCCATCAGGAACAAGATACCCAAGAGGTGGTCGCATGTAGACCTCCTCACGGAGTTCACCATTAAGGAAGGCATTTTTGACATCAAGTTGAGAAATGGACCAAGCACGAACAAAGGCCACAGCAAGGAGAGTGCGAACAGTGGTCATGTGAGCCACAGGAGCAAATGTCTCATCATAATCACGACCATACTCTTGCTGAAAACCACGAGCAACAAGACGAGCCTTATAACGCTCGAGAGAGCCATTAGAGCGAGTCTTGATCTTATAAACCCACTTGCACGTGATGGGACGAGCATGAGAAGGAAGAGGGACAAGGTCCCAAGTGCCAGTGCGCTCAAGAGCAGCAATCTCCTCAGCCATGGCTAGTTGCCATTCAGGATGACAAATGGCATCATGATATGTGGCCGGCTCAGAAAAGACAGTGCCAGCAAAACCATACCTATCAAGAGGCTTTAGCGAGCTACGATCGTGAAGATTATAATGAGAGGAGGGCTGAGATAAAGAATCGTCAACCGAAGATGGCTCAGCAGGAGAGGAGACATCAGAAGGCAACTCAACAGGAGGCGAGGAATCCAGGAGCCGACGACTGTAGGTGTGAATCACGGGAGGTTTGGAATCATAAATGGACCGAGGAGCATGTGAAGACGACTCAGAGGGCAGCGGAGGAGAAGGTGGAGGAGGTGAAGATGGTTTAGGAGGTGGAGATGGTGACGGAGGCAGAAGCACAGTGGAGATAGGTGTATCAGGAAAAGTCAAGAAGGACAGAGGCTCAACAATGGCCTGAGGAGAAACATCAGAGGAGGGCCGAGGATAGAAGGAACGAGACTCATCAAAAGTAACGTCCCGAGAGATCCGCATACGACGAGCAGTCGGGTCCCAACAACGGTAGCCCTTGTGCTCAGCACTATAGCCTAAGAAAACACACTCAACAGATTGATGAGTGAGTTTAGTGCGTTCACGAGGAGCAAGAAGAGCATAGCACATACATCCAAAAAGGCAAAGACTAGAGTAATCAGGTGGATGTCCAAAAAGGCGCTCATATGGGATGCCACCTTTAAGAGCAGATGAGGGTTGAATGTTGGTTAAATAGGTGGCAGTGGAGATTGCTTCAGCCTAGAAATGAGGAGGGACCGAGGAAGCAATCATAAGAGCACGAGCAGTTTCAAGAAGGTGACGATGTTTACGCTCAGCAACACCATTCTGAGCGTGCGCACCAGGACAAGAAAATTGTGAGAGAGTCCCTTGCTCAGAAAGAAATTGGCGAAGAGCACCCGAAAGATATTCCCCGGCAGAGTCAGCCTGAAAAACACGAATAGGAGCATCAAAATGAGTGCGAATCATCCGAGCAAAAGTTTTATATATGGATAACACCTCATTACGATGTTTCATGAAATACACCCATGTGAAGCGAGAGAAATCATCGATAAATATGACATAATATTGATGACCCCCTTTTGAAACAAAAGGTGCAGGACCCCATACATCTGAATGAACAAGATCAAAAGGACACTGTGACACAGACCCACTAGAGGGATATGGAAGCTGGATCTGTTTGCCAAGCTTACAGCCCTGACACTGATCTAAAGAAACATCACCAGAGACATTTCCTAGAACACCACGATGGACAAGAGCGGATAAGCGGGAACCACATAGATGTCCCAGGCGATGATGCCACTGAGCAAAAGAGGAAGAAGCCGCTGCAGGAGAAGCAGAGCTCACAAGACCGGCAGAGGCAGCGGAAGGAAGACGAAGCCAATCGAGTTCTCAGAGATGCGGAGAATCACGGCGGCGAGGGCCAGTACCAACTAGGAGTCCCGTGCTGAGATCCTGAACACAGCAAGTGTCAGAATCAAAAATAACACGACAACCATGATCAGTGAGCTGGCCAGCAGAAATAAGTTGCATGGTCATATCAGGAACATAAGAAACATTAGGAACATGAAATGAAGAAGAAGAAAGAGTGCCACGACCAACAACCGAAAGAGATGAGCCATCAGCAGCTTGAACAGTGAGAGGAATGGAAGGAGAGCAAATAGAAGAAAGAGAGGTACTATCAGGTGTCATATGAAAAGAAGCACCAGAATCAAGAATCCATGGCAAGATACCTGAAGTGGATGGTGGTCTCTCAATAGAAGACTGAGAAGTAGCAGCAGAGAGTACTGGGGCAGGAGTGACAGAACCAGCAGCTCCAGTAGTGACAGAACCTCCAGTAGGTGGAGGAATAGGTGGAGGAACAGCAAGACGACGAAGTAACATGAGTATCTCCTGCTGTGCATCAGGATGCTGAGACTGAGCATGTGAGGAACGCTCACCTCGGCGAGAGGCGAGACCAGAGCCCTTCTTCTTGTAACAATGATCCTCATCATGTCCATCTCTCGCCACAAAGGCTTACAATGAAGGCCACTTGAGTTGTGAGTCCCAGAAGCCGCCAGAGGTCAGCCAAGCGAGCACTTTGGGAGGAGAACCAAGAATTCTGCACCGAGCAGCCAGAATCGAGGAGGATCGATCAAGTAGACCAATGTAACGGCAGGCGAAGTCTCCTCATTACAAACAAGCAACAAGAGCCTCCATCAAAGACACGCACGGCTCACGAGCAAGTAATTGAGCACGAAGGGGCTCAAACTCAAAGACGCAGACGAAGTCGTCAGAAGTCATAGGTGCGACGAAGCTCGAGGTGGCTCTGTTGCTTCTCGCAGAGAGTCACAAGTGTCCGGGGACAACTGAGGACTAAGAGTGTCAAGCTCACGCCATATTGCAGATAGCTGTCGAAAGAAATCATCAACTGAACTGTCACCCTGCTGCAACAGTTGTTCTTGACGTAGGGCGGCAATATAAGTGGACTGACCAGAGGGCTCATAGCGCTGACGAAGAACAGCCCACATCTGAGTAGCATGATCAAGCCGAATAACCTCTCCTGCCAGATGCTTTTCCATACTAGCAACAAGAACAGCCCCAGCACGAGCATCTTCATCCAACCAAGTCCGATAAGCCCGAAAATGAGACATGTAAGAGGCCATATCATCATCATAAGCTTCGCGCAACTTCTTTTGTTCCTCTTCAGAATTTTCTGGAGGAATCACCGGCTGCACTGGACGATCAGGCAATGCTGGACAAGGTAGCTCACCACTAAGAAACTCCCAGAGTCGGAGACCACGCATATGCCACCGCATATGTGGAACCCAGTCATGATAATTGGTGCCATCGAAAATCACTGGACAACGCGGGATTTGCGCGCCTCCAGAGGGAGGAACAGGAGGAGATGCCATCTTTCTTTCTCCAGAAAAGCAGAAAAACAGCAGCAGCAAAGCGGAAAAACAGAGCACTCGAAGAGCAGAGCAGAGGACGCGCGACGGCAGAGCAGAGCAGAGCAGCAGAGGTGGATTTAGCTGTGGCAGAGGGAGCGATGTGGGAGGATGTGAGAGGGGCGCGAGCTGCACGGGAGATGAGCGCGCGCAGGAGGGGTGCGAGCTGCGCGGGAGATGAGCGCGCGAGGAAGTTCGACGGCGGAGCCGCGCCCAGATGAGCGCGCGCAGGAGGGGCGCAAGCTGCGCGGGAGATGAGCGCGCGCAGGAGGGGAATCAAGCGCGGGCGCGGGAACGGAGGGACAGAGCGCGCGAGGAAGTTCGACGACGGAGCCGCGCCGGCCGCAGAAGGCGCGCGACGGCGGGGCCACGCCCAGCTACGGAGCGTGCAACGGGAAGAGCACGCGAGGGAGAGAGCCGACGGGCGACGGAGCTCCAGGCAAGCGCAAGCGCGCGAGAGAGCGAGGTAAACCCTAGACCCTAGGCTCTGGTACCATGTTAGAAGGAATGAAGCTCGATTCTATTCCTGGGGGCAACTGCCCAAACATGTACATGAGTTGGGCATATATGCATCTAAGCCCTTGTACAAAGAGGAAAATATGCTATACACCATATATATCTAACATCTCTAACTGTCTTGGGGAGGAGCATGGATAGCATATAGTGGATCGGTAAGCTGCCAAGAATGGCGTTTACAAGCACCACCCGGCCACCATAGCTTAGGAGCCGGGACTTCCAGCCAGCAAGGTATCGGTCAGAGGAAGAGATAAGTGGCTGATAATCAGACACTCTCAGCTTGTGAGGAGAGAGGAGACCTAGGTAAGGTTGGGGGAACGAGGAAATGGAGCAGCCCAAAATCTGAGCCATAACCGTGGCTCAGTTCCATCAATATTCAAAGGGATAAATGTGGATTTCTGGAAATTAATGTAGAGGCCAGTGACGAGAGTGAAGTCGTCCAATAGACATTTCGGACATCTCACAGAGCTAACATCTCCCTTGATTAAGATCAGAGTGTCGTTGGCATACTCTAGCACAGGGCAAGGAAGGGTGTGGACAATGGGGTGACAGATGTCTCCAAGAGCAGAAGCACTGAAGAGAAGTTTCTGGAGCACATCGGCCACAATAATAAAGAGGTAAGGAGAGAGAGGGTCACCTTGCCGAAGGCCTTGACGGCAGCGAATCCAGTTTCCAGGCGCGCTGTTGAGCATGACAGCAGTCTTGCTCATATGGAGGATGTCAGAAATCCATCCACGCCATTTGGATTCGAAGCCTCTAGTACAAAGGATGGCATCGAGGCTTGCCCATGACACCGAGTTGAACACCTTTTTGAAATCCAGTTTGAGGATTGCAGTAGGCGCTTGGCGCTTGTAGTAGCAAGCTGCATAGACAAATTCTCAGCGATGTTTCGCCCGTAAACAAAACCTGTTTGGTCAGGGTCAATCAGGGTTGGGATGACCGGGCGGAGACGGTTGGCAAGGACTTTGGTGAGGAGCTTCATAGGACAGTTCTGAAGCGAGATAGGCCCATAAGCATCCTCCGTGTTCGCCCCTTCCTTCTTCGGCAGCAGGATAAGATGAGCACGGTTGAGGCTGTCCAAATTTAGGGAGTCAGCATGGAAGGAATCGAACAGACAGACCAAGTCATTTTTTCAGGTGAGGCCAGAGAGCACGGTAGAAAGCCAGGTCAAAGCGCTGGGGCTAGAGTTCGTGTCCATGGCGAGCAAAGCAGCCGCAGTTTCCTCCATATCAAAGGGGTGAGACAGCAAGTGGTTAGCCATAGCAGGTGAAGGGTAGAGGCCAGCAAGAGAGAACCTCCCAAGACGTGTGGACGCTTTCACCAAACAAGGAAGAGTAGAAATTGGAGAGAATGGTCTCCTTGGCCATATGGTTGATGTGGGCGATCCCAGCATCCTCAAGGCTCATGATCGAATTTTTGCGTTTACAGCCGGAGGCGGAAGCATGGAAAAATCTTTTCATCCCAGTTGTAAGCCAGCCGGATGGAGAAGCGTTGGTGCGAATAGCAGAGTTTGTCCCGAAGAACATCCTGGAGACCGTGCAGTGTGGAGCTGCAGAGAGCGTTTTCAAGATTTTCCAGAGGTCGGATCTCTTTGAGAAGATCCAGGGCATTGTTGATGACTTGGAGATCGACCTCGTGCTGATCTGGAGCCTGGTGGGTCTTGGCCCAGGACCCACAGACACAGTGGCATGCTTTAAGCCAGAGACAAAGCGTTTCCCGACCAAGGTATGACTGCTGGAGTTCCAGGCTGCAACAGCAATCTCCTTAAAGGCGGAATTGTTTATAGCCAGAACTTTTCAAAAAGGAAACAGTGAGCTTTGGGGAGAAGGGAGGAGACGGTTATTAGGAGGGGGACATTGTCTGAGGTAAATCTGGTTAGGGCGATGAGGGAGGTGTTGGGGAAGACCAGATCCTACGCATTGTTGACAAAGTCTCCATCCAGATGGACAAGGGTGGGTGAGTTTCTCTGGTTTGACCAAGTGAAGGCACGTCCAAGGAGGGGGATTTCAATCAGCCCTAGCGAATTGATAGTGTCATTGAACATGACAGCTTCATTGGCACGGAAATTAGAGTTATTCTTATCCTCCAGGCAACGTGTGAGGTTGAAATCCCCGACAATAATCCAAGGGACATCTTCACTGGGTGCACAAGATTGAAGTTCATCTAGGAAGTTCTGGTTATCGGCATAGTTAGTGGGAGCATAAACATTGGTGCAGAGGAAGTAGGAGCCATCAGCAGCGAGCACAGCCTCAGTGGTGAGAGTGTATGTGTATCGTCGAGGGGTGGTGCCCAGGATTGAACAGAAGGCTGAATATTTTGTGTAGAGGAATTTAATTAACCTCTGCACCTGGGCTTTAATTCATTGCATATGTGCCAAATAATTGAGGTTGGGAAATGCGCCATACTCTTCACCTGTTAGTGCCTGTATCTGCTAACTCTCGTTGTATAGTTGTATTTCTCGGCCAAATCTAGATCTATGTAGACAGAAGGCTGTGGGGGTGCCGGTTACCGCACGACGACATTGGAGTTGTTGAGTTCTGGTGTATCTCTTTATCCCCTATGTAAGAATCTCCTTGAACAAAACTCTGGCATGGAAAAATGCCACAGCTGCTTTTAGTATCCAATGCTGGGCCAGCTAGGGCCATCTCCCATTTTAATTTAATTTCATGTGGGGAGTCTTTCCTCCGGTTGACCCTAAAAAAAAGGAAACCTAGGATATCTTCACCTGTGTAGACTTAAGCCAAATATGTCTTATGTACATTGGCTTTTTATGTGCTAACTGAAATTATGGTTGCAGTCAAACGTTAGGAGGGAGAGACCAAAACGACCTGATCCTCCTTGCACCATCTGCAAAGGCACCGGGAGAATAGACTGCCGAAACTGCTTTGGCCGAGGTCTCTTTTAGTCCATCTCTGTGTTATCTTGTGGTATGCTGCTGTACCACAATCATTCGTCGGCGTGATGTTTTCTCTCATCAAAATTTGGTCTGGGATTTACAGGTAGAACAAACCGTGCCGATCTGGTCATGCTTCCAAAGGGCGAATGGCCACAATGGTGAGACACATGATTGAGTCTTAGTTCTTAGTACTCTTCTCCATGGTTGTGCTAACTGCTAAACCTCACCACTCTTTCTCAGGTGTCGAATTTGTGGTGGTAGTGGACTGGATTACTGCCTCCGGTGCCATGGAACGGGTGAATATCGAGAACCCATGGGCTTCCACTTCACTGTCCAGAGAAAATGAGGTTCGCCTTGTATGCTACGATGTGCAGTGCAGTTGGTACCAGCTGCGGGGACATTATAGTCACTCAGAGCATGTTTCTCTGGTGTTTCTGAGATGAGTTATGTCTAGTGCTAAACTGCTAACGCTGTAACAACGTTGCTTCACAAAAGGAAAAAAACGTAATGAAAAATCACGAGTGTGAAGGAAAAATCCAGTGTCTGCTGTCCATTGATAGTCTTAGTTGTGTATGGCATAAGGCGCTGCTTGAAATCCGGATGGTTTACGGTTAACCTGTATTTGAATGCCGTCAACCGCCGTTCTGCCGTTGTTGTGTCTGTGATGTTTATTTACAAGCCGTGAGTCATCCCTGGATATGCCCAGAGGGTATCTACATGTACAACTACAAGCCATAATGCAGAGGAATCCCCTGGATCCAGAGTTCCCAGCCGCTCTCGACATCGATCGGCATGCTCCGAAGTTTCCAGCCGTCCTCGAGATCGATCGGCATGACAATGACGATGACGGCGGCACCGCCGAGGCGCGATCTCCTATGCGGACCTCACGCCGACCGTCGTATCGCGGAGTGGGTTACCGGGCTCAACTTGCTGTGGAGGAAGCTGTCGAGGCGACGTGAGGCCATGAGGTGCCAGGGCCCGGCGTCGAACGAGGTCTTGGCGAACGTCTTCCAGCGGCTGTCGTCCAGGTCCATCGCTGCCTGCCGTGCCGTGTGCCTCAGGTGGTCCGTGCTGCTCTCTTCGCCCCGTCTCGCGTCCGTCGACACCGGCTCGACCGCATGCTTCGCTGGCCTCGACGGTGCCAATGCGGGCCGCTGCCGACGCCGGCGCGGCCGCTGCCCAAACGTCAGCACAGGCGATCTAAGAAGAGGCAAGCGTTCCGGCGCATGTTCTGACTACCGTGTTCACGTGCTGTAAGATCTGAGTCTGTGTATCCCGTGTCTGTCAAGTTAAAGGCTCTGTTTGGTTTATAAGCCGCTTGTGCTGGTTTGTACGGCTGATTTATTAGAAGAAAAAAATACTCTACCATGGCTGATAAGTCAGCTTATAATGGCAGCCGAACTAGAGCCTAAACTTCTACTACTATAGTCGGAGTGCACGAGGCACGCAACTGTATGTCTCTATATCGATTTTTTTTTAAACATGATGAACAGGCGTATTGCGTGGTAATTTTGGGATTGTTTGGTTTCTTACGAAGCGAGAGTTCCATTCTAGGAGTATTTGAGATGGAGGAAGCATGTAAATTGAAAATGAAAGACATGAAGAATGTGAGATGGCATTATTGTACAACTTATATATAAAAAAAACCTGTTTATGAAAGAGCGGATCAGTTTTTCAATTTAGGTGATTTTTTCGATCACCTCTGAAAGTCGTGAAATTCTGTCGAATTTCGTCAATTTTTTAAGACTTAAACATGAAGTATGATTTTTCTAAAAATGTTATATGTAAACAAAATATTAGTATGATTTATTACTACAGAATCTATATTGTGTGGAGTACATAAATAAACAATATAAATATATGAGTCTACAGTTATATAGCATATGTATTTGTGTAATATAAATTTTTAGACTTTTCTTTCGGTCATCCCTAAGATTACCCAAATTCGCAAAATTTTTGTTGAAATTTGGCTGAAACTATGAACCCTCTACCAGCTGATGATACCAATAGACACCTTAGGGCTCCTTTGGATTGAAGGATTTTTACAGAAATACTATTTATGGAAGATTCTTTCCTTTCCTAGCCTTGGTTTTGTAGGATTCATGCTTGTCATTTCATAGAAAATCTACCGAAACCTCTTTCTACAAATCCTATGCACGAAGAACGAGAAAGCCTTCTCCAACTAGTACTACCTCCGTCCTGAAAAGAATGCAACTATGGGTTACATACCACGAAAAGTGGTTCACGTTTGATCAAGTTTTTAGTGAATAATATTCACAATTATATCTTTAAATTAATTTATTATGAAAATTCATTTTATAATTAATCTGACGGTATTTATTTGGTATCATAAATATGGATATCTTTTTTATCTATAATTGGTCAAAACTTAAGGTACTAAAATGTGACACTATGTTAGAATTACGTTCTTTTGGGGACGGAGGTAGTACTAATATTTGCTTCTTGTTGATGGACCCACTTGTCTATGAGTAATGAAACAAATTCTTACCAAAGGAGTGATTAAGCAAATAAGTTAAACAACTTATTATGATGAAAAATCATGTGTTTCACCTGAGCTCCTGCCAAAGGCCATCTCATTTATGTTCCTTTGTTTTCAATTCCCACAGGATTAGACAAGCATGACATCTTAATTCCTGAGTTTTTCCTTTTCCTATACCTCAAGCAACCAACAAAATATCTCTGCCGTCTGCCCAAACTCTGACTGCGTCAGACTGCTCCGCGAAACCGGAAGCCCAACGCGAAATCACTCCTCCCCACGCTGCTTTTCTTCCGGCTCCCAATAGAGCGAAGCAACCCGCAAAACCCAACTAAAACCCTACTCACCCCGCCGCGATGAGCAACTCCATGGCAAAGGCTTCACCACCCCCGCTCCTGCTCCTGGTAATCGATCCATCTGCTTATCTCCCCCTTCCTCTGAGCGCGTTGCATACGTACATCAATCCACCCATCGTCTTGCCACGGCATCATTGAAACTGATTTTCCTTTCTCTCTCTCCGCTTCCGATCCTGGCGCTGTGGCGGAGAAGACGATGGAGCCTGATCAGGAAGCGCGAGTCGTTCGTGGTAAACATCAACCTTCCATCAATCGTCCTTTTTTTCGTCGTCTTCGTCGACCATGGGGTTTTCTTTGCTGCAATGTCGGCCCTTTCCATGTTGTGATCTTCGTTTCGCCAAGCAGGTGGCGCCTGTCCGTCGTCGTCTGTCCTGGTCATGGAGGAGTTCGTGATGGGCGACGACGCGCGGCTCGTGGCGTCCATGCGGCTCGCCATGAAGCTGGCCGTGTCGTCCAGACTCTTGGCCAAGCTCTCCGACCTCTTCGCCTCCGATGCCGCGTTCCGCGACGCACTGGCGCGCGTCCGTGGGGGGCCGACGGCGAGCGGCTCCGCGTCGTGGCCTACGGGATCGGCGGCGCGCAGTACAGCTGGGCGCCACGGTTTCGCCTCGCCGTGCTGCTGCTCCTTCGCGACGCGTTCCCCGACGCGATCGGCGACGTCGAGGTGGTGTGCCCGACCGCGGCCCCCGTGGAGCGCCGAGCCATGGAGGAGTTGGGCTGCGTCGTTACCACGTCGGTTCAGTGCCAGCCAGTTCACGGGCCGACGCTCATCTTCATGCCATACGCAGACCACGTCTTCTTCAAAAACCTGCTCACCTTGAACTGGAGCGCGGATCAGCTCGGCAAGATCGTCTTGCTCGGGCACAGCTTTGGCACCATGGTCAAGATGCTTGAGCTCAGCATGTCCAAGCAGGAGAAGTTTGGTGTCACCGAGCAGAGGGAGAAAGTGAGGAGGGTGATGGCAATTCGGGAGTATGTGCGTGAGATTGAGCTATGCTCAGAAATCGATGGTTTGCTCGATAGTCCTCTCTGGGGAGATGATGATCCTGATGCTGAACTAGCCAAAGATTGTGACGATTCATTTCTTTCAAAAAAAGATTGTGACGATTCACAGGAGGAGTGCAGATGCATGCACTGCATTGCTAATATAGAGAGACATGCCATGATTAGTGCTCTTCCCAGCTCCTTTTCAGTTCATGTATTCCACTTTGATCCTGAAATTGACATGGACCATCTTGTGCCAGGTTGTTCTGATGTACAATTGTTCATATTTGTGGTTTTATGTAGTTGGATCTGATGTCTTGTTGCCTCTTTCTCTGTTGCAGTGAATTGTCCTAAGAGGGTTTGGAGCACAGTGAACGTCCAGATGAACTGTGATGCTCAGTTAGCAGGGTAAGATCATGTAGTACCTGCTAAGATCGTTTACACTCTGAAATATTTTTTTGGTTCAGTTTTTTCCCGTGTTGTTCAATGACTTAAGTAAAAAAAAATGTTACCACATACCACAAGAAACGGATAAATATTAGTTTTCTGGTCTGAAATGTGATCTATGTACTAATTGCTAAACTGATTTTGATCATTTGTTTGCCCATTTCGCTTCGCTACATTTGGTTATTGATTTCTCTCCTCGAAAAAAAAAAAAGATAATTGATTTCTTTTGGCTTCCTCGTATTATTGAACTCTGAGTGAGGTTTGCTTCACCAATAATGATATTGCTGCAGTGCAAGTTCTAATTTTCTTCACTGATGAAGTTAACCTGCAGTGCAGTGCTAATAGTCTACATTCTACAAGCTATTCAATTTTTCTGTTATGATTTGCATATAACTGATGAAATATTCTTTGGAACAATTTTGTTCCCCTGCTCTTTGATCACTAAAATCCATGACTTATTTTTTTAAAAAAAATATATACTACATGCAAGAATCTGGTACATTTTAGGTTGTGGAATGAAAGTGCTCTTTGTGTGCTACATGATGAGCTCCTTCAGATCATCTATGTTTGTTCACTTTGGGGATTCTCTAGATTTGGTTATGGAAATATTGGCTCTCTTTTATTATTGAACTTTGAGTGATATTTGCTTCACCGATCACGATATTGCTGCAGCCAGAAGTGCATGTTCTTATTTTCTTCAACAATGTATAAGGTAATGATCAGAAAAAAAACTGAAATTAAAAATGACTTGAAAGGTACCAGTAGACATTTGATTTCTCTGTTATGATTTGCATGTAAAACATGAGGCATATAGATATTGTTGTAGAGAGAGCATAGTGCATTACTCTGTAAGAGTAAATCTGTAAACGTGTCCTATCTCTCATTGCAAATTGTATTTGCTATTTGTCATTAATAACCTCAATGACTGATTCATGGTCTATTTTTTCATTAAACTAGATGATATTTAAATCCTAATGATGCATACATTGAGGATAAAGATTTAAAGGAAGCGGTGAGCATAGTTAAAGAAGTGCGTGAAACTATGCTTGATGTTAGGAGTTCTTCACTGTACGCAAAGTTCATTCATCAGCTTAAGGAAAATCCAAGTACAAGCATGTTGGGAAGTCATGAATGCATGGATTTGGTAATTTATGGCCTTGGGAGCTTTGAATTTGACATGAGATCTCAGTATCAGCTTGCTTTCGCTCTTCTTCTAAAGGAAGATAAGGTATTTCCAGTTGGCAACATTGAAATATATGACCCGGCACTCTCGCCAGCTGATGTCAAGGCTTGCTTCGACTTGGGAGTAAGAGTTCTTCTAGTTAATGAGCAGTGCCAAAGAAGTGTGGAGAAGCCAACACTTTTCTATGTTCCAGGTCTGAAATTCATAGGGAATCTTGTGGAATCAAACTTCTCTCCTAAGCAATTAAATAAGGTGATTCTGGTTTCCTATGGGTTGAAGTACAGTGTGGAAAGTGCTTATGGTGGATTTGAAAACTGGAACCTTGGATGTACCAGTAGGGGTTCCCTAGCTTTGGAAAGGGACAGATTCCTGTGGGCAACCGTGGATTACATTCATGAAGCCATTGCTATGGGAAAATCCAATGAGGAATTAGATGGTGTTGGTGAGTTGAAGGTGGAGTTTGTTGAAGTAGACGATGATATGGACATATACTCAAAATTGCCAAGTATTTCTTCTGCTTCTGATCATCTGCTTATGCTTGGTTTCTTCCTAGTGTTCTTTTTTAATGGTGAATCTGACTCTACAGGGCTGACACTCAAGGAGAAATTTTACCTTAACTTCATGTTGGAGGTGGAATATAATTCATTCCTTTCTTTTGAGTAAGACCTTGAAGGCTTGAGGCCAATGTCTAGCCATTTAACATGTCTTTGCTTTGTGTTACTGTATTCTGATTGAAAATTTTAGACCAAGAAGCCATTTCAGTGGAAAAATTCATTAATCGTTCTTCCTCAATTGTTTCAGTCATGTGGCTTCCCTCCGTATGCAACTGGAAGAGCGAATATCACGCCCATTCAGAGAAGATCCATGTGATTGCAGGGATGATGATACTCCATTCTGGGGACCTGTTTTCCGTCACCGTCTCCCAGAAATGAAACGGACTACATGGTCGCCTCCACCCAAGGGTTGGATCAAGCTCAATTTTCATGGAATTGGCTGTTCCAAGGGCCGTCCCGCCAGCATTGGTGGTATATTCCACAATGACAAAGGTGAGGTGCTCTCGTACTATGCTGGTCCAGTAGGAGACGTGGACCAGATTGTGGCCAGTGCCATGGCACTTGAGATGGGGCTACAAAAAATGATTGACCTCCATGAACCAGTATTCAAGCTGATCATTGAGGGGGACAATCTTATGGTGATACGCTGGTGCAACAGAATCGCTCGCCCACCTGAAAGAGCTTTTGATTCATTTTCACATAGCTATTGGTACATGGATTTGAGACCCACCGAGGCACCTGCTCCTGACGAGGTACCTGAGGAGTGCAAGTGCAACAAGGGTGAGGATGATGGTTCAAAGGATACAGACGAGGATAATGGTCGAAAGGATGATGACGAGGAGGATGTTGGTGCATCTTCAGAGTTTGACATCCCTCCTGGATGGGCTCAGAGAGAGTACATAGCTTGGCATGTTGAACAGCCGGCTAATCGGGTCACGATTGGTCTGGCACGTGTTGGAGCTTCCCTACCTGGGATCTTTCTACACCAATCAAGCATGTGTGACTGTGGACATGGAATGGACATGAAGAATGACAAGCCAGACGTTACATGGTAACAACTAAGAACCTATTGAACTTGCCGATCTGTTCTGAAATCTGAACTAGAAGTGTCTGTTCTTCTGGCTATCCTAACAATCTCATTTATTGCAGGTTCCTTCATGACTTTGCTACGGGTGATGGCATCATTGAACGACTGAAAATTTGAGCCTGAGGATTCTTTAACCTGTTCATGAGGAGCCTGCTGCTGACTTCTGTTTCCTGTTGCTAATGGTTTTGCTTGTTCTGAACAAGTCGGGTCTGTCTGTTTTAATGAAATCCTTGATCTGCATGATAAGCCTTCGGCGTCTTCGATTTCCTGCTTTATATAAAAACCAAAAAAGCCTGTGAATGATCCCTGAGAATATAATTGCGTCCTTTGGTTGTTCATTTGATATGTAGTTCAGTAGTTTGCTGTGATACATGGTCCTTCTCCTATACTTCATATGTAATAACCAGTAATACAGTTAAACGACAGTCGACATGGACATGCTTTGCAGCGTTAACTGTGAGGTGATCTATTCGTTTGCTTGCTCTGAAATCTGAATATGTTGCGTCTGTGCTTACATGTGTGATTGTGCTGATGACTTTTCTGACGTTCATGGAGGCCAAAGAGTAGTGTGAGCAGGCCGGTGAAATGATGTCGATCCTTCATGTTAGACGCCGCACGCCGGGATCATCGGCGCAGGCGCAGGCGCCAGGCGGGCCGGACGCGCCAACGCGGAGTGCGCGCAGCAAACCGCGTGTGCAAGGAATGTCTTATCAGACGCTACCACCATCGCATTCCCACCAGCTCGCCGCCGTGTGGTCGCCGAGAAGACGACCAAGACATGCGGCAGCGGAGCTCCTCGAGCTGATCCTCTCGTCTCTGTGGCGATCCAAAATAGGGTCTCAAGTGTAAAATATTGTATCACAATTATTAATCACGATGCATATTACTTTATTAGGTGTTTATTTGTAAAATATTTGATCGCGATTAATAGATTAGGGACTAGTTTGTAACTTTCGGTTGCGGCGACAACGAACCTCCTGCATCCGGGCTCCGGCGGCGGCGCTCCAGGGCTCAGGGCTCAAGGCTAAGGCAAGAGTTCGCCCGTGCACCAACCTAATCCGGGGTCGCGCGCATGCGCGGCATTTTGTGGGGGAGGAGCGCGCACGGAGCCGCGGATGGGGACAGCGAGCGGCGAACGACGATGTGCCTGCGTCGCGCCGTCGGCGCATCTTGTTACTATCTAGCTTCTATCCGAAGCGTCCCCTCTGATCGGTGTAAGCTCGCGACGGCGGCGGAGCTCCGCGTGCAGGCATGGCTCGGAGCGCGCGCCGCCCACCACAGACAAGCTCGATGGAATGCCGCACCCAGTGCGCTGGATGTAAGTTCTCCACTAAACAAATAGTTGTTCATCCAGTTAAGCGTGAATTACTCCAACTTTATAGTTGGTTTTCAGTGCACGATTTATACGGAGTAGCTACCAAGTTATCGTTTCCCCATTTCAGTTATGTCCTGCATCTGCAGTAAACTATAGTACATTTCATCACTCCAATTTTCTGAATCATCGTAATCTAAGAGCTGGAGTAAGTAGTACGGAAGCATCCTCCATTGTAAACCCTGGCCGTGTGGTTTTGGTGCGTACTTGTCATATATAGATATATTGTGTGGTAATCAACTTCTGTATCGACTTTCACCATCTTGGATTCACTCTCTTGTCGCCATTCAATTGTTTGCTGTTCCACTGAAGCCATGAGATCGCCGTGAGTACTCCTTTATGAGTCTGGAGAATTCAGAGCTCTCGTTCTCCAGTAATTTTGAGGGTGTGTCATATTCTATAATTCTTCCTGCTCATCACAATAATTCATTAAAGCACACATATATTAGTAATCCAGCAGCTACATCTGGTAAAAGGTAGAGAACTGGTGCTTCAATCACGTGACTTACCTTCACTGAAAACAAGAATGCGATCACTGTCAATTACGGTGTGGATTCTGTGAGCTATTGTCAATACCGTTCATTTCCCGAATTCCTCGCGGAACGTTTCTTGGATAATTGCATCAGTGGAGGAGTCAACTGAAGCAGTTGCCTCATCGAGAACAAGAACATTGCTTCGCTTTAGGAGAACCCTTCCGAGGCAAAATAGTTGCCTCTGCCCAACACTCCAATTTTCCCCATTCTCGACAACTGCAGGAAATATCTCATAATCTCAATGACAGTATCATTATGAAAGGGCTATAGTATCATCCATTGAAATTTCTATTCCTGCATCCTAAATTTTTATATTTGGCTGTGCTCAAAAGATACATTACCTGTGGAGTCGAGTTTCTTTGGGTTTTGCCAAACTATATCACCAAGCTGGCATTTGTCCAAAATCTGTCCAAAAGAAGGAGAAAAAAATTATTCCTGATCATATGCTTGAAGAACTAAAAACCACTTTACCTTAGCCATCATGATTTTATAATAACTTTTGTATTTTTCTTTTTTACAGATTGAGTTTTGATTAAATTACAATTTTATACAAAAATTACATCAGGGTTTTACCGTTTTAGATTATGAGAGAACTCTGAGGCACTGCTTTGCATCTATAGTTCTCTATAAAATAGGTGCACTTTTACATGTGTTTTTCTACTTCACCAGGAGCCACATTTAAACCATCATAGTGCACAATCACTGGGCTTGGTGATTTAGCCATGAATGCTGTTACCAAAATTTATTCACAAAAGATGTTGTCGTCCACAACCTGTTTTCTGGTGACGTGGAACATTAAGTGTGAGCAATAATGACTAATGCTACAAAGATTTGGCCTCTCTATTTGACATCTTAAATAAGGGATTCCTTTATAATGGTATCTGTAGTTCATTAAATTACCTCCCACACACGATGATCAGGGTACTCATTCAGAGGATCCAGATTCCCTCTAACTGTTCCCTCAAACATTGTTGGATCCTGTGGAATGATGCTTAGTCTTCCTCTTAAATCATGCAGCCCTATTTTCAAGATGTCAACATTGTCGATTTCGATTGTTCCTCCCCTTGGTTCAACGATCCTGAAAAGTGCTTGGATAAAAGTTGACTTTCCGCCACCAGTACGTCCTACAATCCCCACCTTCTTCCTTCCTGGAATTGTGCATGATATGTTTCTCAAAACTGATGGGAGATGCTCTGCGTATCGAACCTATAAAAGCAAACAACAACATTAGGTGGCTGCAATTGAGAAAGTGCATATATCAGGGTTAATGACATCAGAAGTTTCCTTCTGAAAAAAAACCTTCCACTCCTATGTGTCATGTCTCATCATAGAGAAAAGACAGTTAATTGCATGCTTTACAGTATCTATATCTGCCACTCTTGTCTTATATTTCTTCATTTTTTACAATCTGTGGCACTCCCACTTTTGTTTATGTAATCGAATAGTCCTATTTTGTGCATGAGAAAGCGTGAACTTCTGCTCTTTATTTTTATCTCATATTTAAAAATAGTCTTATTATCCTCTTTGGTAAAATATACTGCAAAATATCATTGAGTCGGCAGTTTCCTGAGATGAATTCTGCTTTGCAGCACTTTCTGCAGGTTATTTAACCTTTGATTTATCTAACGATTGTTCAATTTCAGACATTAGTCTCCATGAGAGATTTTTTGGGTTTGCTGACTAAAACTTTATACACGCACACTTGATTATTACACCTATAGTGGGTCAGAATTCAGTATAGTATTACACATATCTCCAAGGATCTTATATTGATAGTTCCGGCATCTGGCCAGATGTTTGTTGGGCGGTAATGGTCAACTACGAGAGGAGCCTCACTAGGGATCCTCGAGTACTGCATTATTCTTTCAACTGATATCATTTTGTTTTCTGTGTTGCAAATGTTCCAAATTATGGATGCCAGCTGTGAGTTGAGGTTCAATGCATAAGTCACTGCAAGTCCAGCAATACCTGTATATACAATCATATTAGTTTGGTAATAATCAAACGTAAGATAGCTTGAGACTTTAATGTTAAAAAAAAAGATAGCTTGAGGCTTCTGTAATCATCCATGACTCTATCTGCATATAGAGCTTACTTGGGTTTATAAAACCTTCAGGGAGGCTCACTAGCAGAGTCAAAGAAAAGGCAAAGACAAAGGTGGATAGCATGTTTAGCCTGAAAGAAAGCCACTCCATTGCGGAAATGTTATGGAACCATGGCCTGGAGTGGTTGTCAACAAGACCAAGGTTTGCTTTTCTGAAACGATCTTTCTGTCCATATGCTCTAATACTTGATGCTCCTGCTAGCGATTCTGCAAAATGGTGTAGAATTGGAGCCCTTTGAATTTGTGATAAACGAGCCAACTCTCTCGCTGTTGGTATGTAGTAGTGCTGCACACATACAAAACATGAACACGTTCAGCATTTTATGAAATGGGTACCATCAAATAAAGGAATCTGCTAGTGAATCTTCCTGGAATTCACGGTGCAAAAAAGTAATAGGAAAGGGATAATTATAAACAGAAGGTCGTTTTTAAGAGTTCATACTTGACACAGGAAATAGACCACCGTCACCGGAACAAAGATAGCAAAAACTGGCCATGCCACTTGTGACATAACACCAATGGTCCCCAGAATTTGTATGATTGAAAACACACACCAGCCTAGCTTGTTTGCTATTTCCAGATCTAGAACACTTTGGTCATTAGAGGCCTGTTCCATGCAAAAAATAATAATTAGTTTAATGGTGTTTAAGCATGTGAAAGATTATGAGAATGGTCATAAAGTTAAATAAGCACTAACCCTGTTCAAAATTCTACCAGTAGGTGTGGAATCAAAGAAGGACATTGGGGCACGCAGAATGCAGTGGAGCATGTTCTTGAAGAACTTTTCTGATGTTAGTAGACCAATCAGTGACACAAGCAAGGACCGAGACAAGACACACAGGGCACTTCCCATAGATAGTGCTATGTATACAGAGAAGAGGAGGCCTAATCCAACGGTTGGAGTGGTTGCAGTTGTAGGAGGTGATGCCCATGCCATCCAATAGTTGCTGGCTATCTGAAATATTTGAAAGAATGATTGTGCAGCTATTGTTACTGGCACTAAGGCTCCACCATGAACTGCCCTCAGGTAGGCCCAGTAAACCTTCTTGCCAATGCCTCCCTTTTCCCGTTCTTCTTCTTGTGTTATCCTCCCCTTGTCACTGATGTCTTGCAAGACATCATGTGCAGACTCTTGTTTTGTTATGCCCTGAAGTTGATCATCTGTTTCATTTTCTGTATCGAACTCATCCTCACTGTCTGCTGATTTTTGGTTGTCTGACGGTATTCTGCTGGAACTCTCAGCATTTATAACAGATTCAAGAGCCTGGCTATGCGCACCTACTATAGCTTCAAACCCTATGTTTTGTTGAAGAAGTTCATTGAATTTCCCTTTCTGCACGATTTTACCATCTTGCATCACCTGTTAATTTGAATTCAAATGGTTAGTTCTTTGAAATATGGACACAATGGGTTAAACCAAAGTATTTTTCGACACTTACCAGTATAAGGTCTGCGGCAGGAAGGAATTCGACTTGGTGGGTCACATACAACACTGTTTTATCTTTAAGAATTCCCATTACACAATCCTGTAGAATGAAATTATTTTATTTGATTAGGATATGAACAAATTTTTTTTTCTCTTCTAAATCAACAATGAGCCTCAAACGGTCAAATAATCACATTACTAGTACAAAGTTGAATGTATTTGTGCATTTAAACGAACCTTGAAAAGCTGGCTTCCTGTATGGGCATCTACTGCACTGAAAGGATCATCAAAGAGGTAAATATCTGCATCCTCATACACTGACCTTGCAATCTGAATTCGCTGTTTCTGTCCACCACTCATGTTAATTCCCCTTTCACCAATCTCAGTCAAATCACCATTTGTAAACAACTCAAGATCTTTTGTCAGCGCACATGCTTGTATGATTTTTTCATAATTTTCCTTGTCATGTGTGTTTCCAAACAGAATGTTTTCCCTTATGTTCCCAGACAGGATCCAGGCAGTTTGAGGAACATATGCTTTGCGGCCACTGACCCTGACAGTCCCATCTAGCTTTGGCATCTCCCCAAGTATGCATGATAATAGACTGGATTTTCCAGAACCGACCATTCCACAGATAGACACTTTCATCCCTCTCTTTACCTTTAACTCTACATCTGTCAGAGTTGGAGAAGTAGTCTCAAGTTCCCAGCTGAATATTCCATGATCAATCTCCACATTGTAGTCTGTGTCGTTTCTCGGTACTTGTGTAACTGCATCACAATTCAATTCTTCTTCCTCAAGGTATTTTGCCACTCTATCAGCTGAAACTTTTCCCTGAGCAAACACTGAAAGTAAGTCAGGAAGTGTGAAAATTGGATCTTGTAGCATGCGGAATGTCACAACAGCTGACAAAACAGTTCCAGCTGTAAGAGGAATCCCCATCAGTATACATGAGCCAAATGTTATGGAGGAAATGAATGCAGGTGATCCCCAAAATATGAATGTTGTTAGAGCCGACAACCTCACAGATCTCCATAGCCAATTGTACTCCTCGCCTCGTAAAGTTTCTAGCTTCTGAAGGTACTTCATATCCCATGCTTGAAGTTTCAGTATTTTCATGCTTCTAAGAACTTCCGTTGTTGCCTTCATTCTGTTGTCTTTGGCAACCATGATCTTGGCTTGCAACCTCTTTTGCATTCTGGTTAGTGGAATATTGCAAGCCATTATTGCCAATGTCGCTGCTAAACCAGCCCAGGCCCCGACCCCTAAGTTTGTATGGAGGACATAGACAGCTAAAGAAAGCTGAATGGGTAGCATCCAGATGTAGTTTGCATACCATATAACATCAGTTATCCTTTGAATATCTGTAGAGAAACACCGCACACCCTAATCAGGGGGGGTGACCTTCATTATATAGCCTAATAGGCTAGGGTTACAATGTACAAGGCCAATGGGCCGGGCTGTTACTATTACATTCTAACACCCTCCCTCAATCTAAGCGGGAGTGTCACGAACACAAAGACTGGACCTAAAGTCAGTGAACAACTGTACAGGTAACCCTTTGGTCATAATATCCGCGAACTGATGAGACGATGGAACATGGAGCACCCGAACCTGTCCCAAAGCAACCTTCTCACGGACAAAGTGAATATCTATCTCAATATGCTTCGTGCGACGATGATGAACTGGATTGGCGGTCATGTAGACAAAGATTGACATTGTCGCAGAGAGACGATCGTCGCCGAAGAGATGGGTGCGTGGAGCTCTGAAGTAATCGACGAAGCCAACAAGTCTCACCACGGCGTGCGCGCAAATAACACGATACTCACCTCCGCTTTCGAGCGAGAGAGACCGTGAGTCTGCGTTTGGAGGACCAAGAGACTAAGTTGTCGCCGAGAAAGATCATGTGAGTTCAAGTGGAGCGCCGAGAGTCTGGACAACCAGCCCAATCAGCATCGGAGTAGGCGGTCAACCTGGTGATGCTGCCTGTGTCGATGTGAAGCCCGGTGGACAGGGTGCCCTTGACATACCGCAGGACACGCTTGAGCATCGCAAGATGAGGCTCTCGTGGGTCGTGCATGAAGAGGCAAACCTGCTGAACAGCATAGGCGAGGTCCGAACGAGTCAGCGTGAGATACTGTAGCGCACCGGCGAGGCTGCGGTACTGAGTGGCATCCGCCACCGGAGCGCCGTCCGTAGCAGAGAGCTTGGCATGAGTGTCAACAGGAGTCGCCGTAGAATGACACTCAGCCATGCCGGTCTTGCTGAGTAGGTCCACAACAGCATCTTGGCGCCGAGACAGAAGAGGAGAGGCGTCCAGTAACGCGTGACAAAGATCCCGAGGAAGTGATGAAGATCCCCGAGATCTGTCATGGCGAACTCGGAGTGAAGGAGCTCGGTGATGCGACGAAGAAGCGGGGTCGACGAGGCTGTCAGGATGATGTCGTTGACGTAGAGCAGCAAGTAGGCGATGTCGGCACCCGCTTTGTAAACAAAGAGAGATGTATCGGAGGTCGAAGCAGTGAAGCCGGAGAACCGCTGGTGCCACGCCCTGGGCGCCTGCTTGAGTCCGTACAAGGACTTTTGCAGGAGACAGACGTGGTTGGGAGCCGCCGGGTCGACGAAGCCGGGCGGCTGCTGGCAGTAGACTGTCTCGTTCAGATGGCCGTGAAGAAAAGCGTTCTTCACGTCCAGCTGATGTATTGGCCAGGAGCGAGAGGCGGCGATGCTGAGGACGACCCGGATGGTGGCCGGTTTGACAACCGGGCTGAACGTCTCATCGTAGTCAATGTCGTACCGCTGCGAGAACCCACGAACGACCCATCTGGCTTTATGACGAGCCAGAGAGCCGTCAGCACGAAACTTGTGCTTGAAGACCCACTTGCCGGTGATGATGTTGGCACGAGGCGGTCGAGGAACAAGACGCCAGGTGCCATTGTCCACGAGCGCCTTGTATTCTTCGGTCATGGCCGCGCGCCAATTCGCATCGGCGAGCGCGGCGCGAGAGTTGCCCGGCAACGGAGAAGCCAGATTGGAGGCCACCGCGGTGAAGCCATACCGCTGCATGGGCGGCGGCAGGGAACCCGTCTGGGAACGAAGTCGCCACGCAGAGGCTCGAGCCCGGCACCGCCGCCGCTGATCTTTGGAGCCGGGGCACCACCGCTGTGGCTCTGGGGCCGGAGGTACCTCCGGCGGCGGTGGAGCCGGTGCCGGATGCTGACGACGGCTGTAGTGGATGCCATACCGCTTTTGAGACAGGAAGCGGCGGCGACGCACTTCTTTGGCGGAGGAGCTGCAGGAGCCATGGCCTGCCGAGGCGCCTGGGGTAGCCGGTGGGCAGCGCCGTGCCACAGATGGCGGTGGTCGAACCAACGGGTCGCCGCATCGTCTCGAGGCGCATTTAGGCAAGCGCAACCGAGGCCTGCGAGTTCGGAACGTCTGAGGTAGACGGGGCAGGCGCGGGAAGTATATCCTGTAACAAAAGGTCAAAAGAATCCGGTCGGAGGCTTGGAAGCCGCAAACGGAAAGTGAGTCTCATCAAAAACAACGTGGCGAGAGATGATCTTGCGAGTGGAAAGATCAAGACACCGGTAGCCCTTCTGGGAAGGAGGGTAACCGAGGAAGACACACGCTGCTGAGCGAGGAGACAATTTATGGGGTGTCGTGGCACTGAGGTTCGGATAGCACAGGCAACCGAAAACTCTAAGGATGGAGTAGTCTGGCATTTTACGGTGAAGGAGATGATAGGGAATACCATTATGTATGGATTTATGAGGGCCGCCGTTGATCGTAAACACAATGGTGGAAAGAGCTTCACCCAATAGGATGGAGGCATGGCGGCATGAAATGCGAGCGTCACGAACATCATTGTTCAATGTCAGCGAGCATCCGCTCGCCTTTGCCGCTCGGGCGGATGTGTAGGGGCACGAGGTGCGGCGCGGATGCCGCTGCTAGCCAGGAAGGTAGCGGTGGCATTGTTGATGAACTCGGTGCCATTATCTCACCTCGAAACAATACGACGTGAAAGCTGAACTGTGTGTGAGCGTGAGCAACAAACTGAACAATATGTTCATGAACTTCGGATTTATGGCGAAGAGGAAACATCCAACAATAATGAGTATAATCATCAACTAGCACGAGATAAAATTTATAACCGTAAATGCTCGAAATTGGAGAGTCCGGACATCACAAAGTGAACAAGTTCAAAAGGTGCGGATGTACAAGAAACCGAACTAGCAAATGGTAGCCTAAGCGTGTTTGCCTAGCTGACAGGCATGACAAAGACGGCGAGCTGCTTTATTACACTGGATAGCTGATAGCATATTTAGAGTAGTGACGACGGCAGGTGCAGGATGACCAAGGCGGAAGTGCCACAGCTCCGGGGAAACAACGGCGACATGGCAGCGAGGTGGCATGCGATGTGGAATGGTGTAGAGGTCCCCGTTGCTATTGCACCGAAGGAGGACCGTCTTGGTCTGTAGATCCTTAACAGAAAAACCAGAGGCGTCAAACTCAATTGAACAGTTATTGTCGCGAGTAAGCTGTCGAACAGATAACAGATTACGAGTGAGTTGGGGAGCGACAAGAACATTATCAAGATGAAAAGGACGATCAGCTATTTGAATAAGAGAAGTGCCACGACTAAGAATAGGAATTGATTGACCGTTGCCGACCGTAATGGAGGACGGTGGCGACGGGAGATGGGAAAGTAAAATACCGTCGTTGGAGGACATGTGAGATGTCGCTCCGCTGTCCATGACCCAGGTGCAGACCCACCCTGAACCGCCATCTGGTTGAGAGCGGCGATCAGGCTGGTCGGATCCCAGCTGGCTGGAGGCCCGTAAGCCGGAGGACCGCCGGCAGTGGAGAACTGAGGCGGCGCGAAGGCGGTGTGTGCCTGTGGAGGAGGCATAGGTTGCGCACCCCACTGCTGCTGCTGCTGAGGTGGCCACTGGACGGCCCAAGGGTTGTAGCAAACCCAAGGGCCGGCCGGCTGAGGAGCCTGACGCCCGCCGGAGCCGCCGCCTTGCCCGCTGAAGCCGCCACCGTGCTGCTGGCTGCGCCCGCCACCGCCACTGCCACCGCTGCCGTTGCCGCCACGCCCACCCTTGCCCTTGCCACCGCCCCCACGATTGGTGGGTGCAGAGGAGGTGGACCGGCAGGACGGTGAAGTGCAGGAGGAGGTGGTGGAGGCGGCAAGAGCTGAAGCCAAGGCCTCTGTGCCCTCGGTGCCAAGGCGGAGCTCCTTGACCCGGAGCATGTTGGTGGCAGACTTGAAATCGGGAAGCGGCGATGAGTTGGCAATGATGTCGGCGGTGTTGGCAAAGCGGGAGTTGAGGCAGCGCAGAAGATTGAGCACGAGCTGCGCGGGGGAGATGGTGTGGCCGACCTCCCGAAGTGCATCAGCGGTGCGCTTCATCTGCTGGGCGTAGGCGTCAATGGAGAGGTCGCCCTGGGACAGGTTGTGGAATTCCTGCTCGAGGACGACGGCGCGGGACTCCTTGTTCGCCTGGAACAAGGCCTCGATAGAGACGTACAGAGCGCGCGGCAGATGAAGCGCACCGCTGATGCACTTCGGGAGGCTAGCAAATGGCAGCCTAGCGTGTTTGCCTAGCTGTCCCACAGATGGATTCAATAGTAGCTCTGTTACGCTGCTGTCTGTGAATGTGATTCCTGTTTTCCTTCTGGCTGAAACTGCAAACAAGCATGAACAGATCAATCCATTCTTCAAATCCTATATCGTCATGGGTTGCCAAAATTGACCTGAGATCAATTACAACAGTTGTAGCTGATTGTAGAAAGCTAAATATCCACCAGGACCGAATTACCATTGGAAGTTTTGCAGATTTTGTTTTCTGAAAACTGAATACTAGTATTGACAATATTATCCACGATAGCACCTGCAAACCTTCACAAAGAATAAAGGGTGGATACTTGCAATCACTTATTCTTTCATGTAACTGTAGAAATACTGCCCTCAGAACATGACTGCCTAGTATAAGCAGGCAACAAGCTTTGCATGCTTTATACGAGATACCCAGCTTTATATCTGTAATCTTGTGTTCCTGATATTGTTTATTGCTTTCAGGAGCTGCAGCCTTTAGTCTCTGTCTCCACCATCTGAATTTCTTGAACATAAATTGAGCCAATATACTCATGATGAATATCAATTGTATCAGTGCAAAAGTGCCCATCCAGAAACAAGGTGAGTATAGCTCTTGCCATTCTTGCATATGGTGCAATATAGTAGAATCTGTAATAATAGGTTGCAAATTTCATGTCAAAAACCAATGGAGGAATACATTCTTGAGGAGTCAATTTTCTCTTGTGGAAACATAGGATCTAGTAGCTACAATTATGTCATCGATACTCAAGAAAAGTAGAAACAAACATGTTCTTGTGAGGACTGAACTTTTACTATTTCTTCCAAGCATTATTTAAAATTATAGATAAGCTGCTAACCATAACCATGGGGAAGTTGACCTAGCATGTTAACTGTCAGGAAAAAGGACAATTAACACGAATCATTATCATCATGTTTGGGGCAGAGTTCATCTTTGAGTTGGACTACTCATCTGTTGTTTCAGTTAAGGTTTTCTATTTTTGTTGTTTTAGAAGCACCATGTTATAAATCTTTTTTATTTGCTACTTGAAGCAATAATTTGTTGTAGGATAAGATTTGGTCACACCAGGATTACAGGTTCATTCTGCTTTTTACTCCTGTCAAGAATGATTGGACAATACTTTTTTTCAGGTTTTTTTTGTAAACTTTCGTCCTTAATTAGCTGCCGTCTTTTAAAGTAGTGACATGGACCACAAGTGCTCAAATCTTTACATATGAATCCTGCGCCCAAACCGTGGCCAGCCAGCGTGCCACGTCACGTGCCTTTCGTGGCCGTTCGATCGGGCGCGCGGACGGCCCAGATCGGACGAGCCGCGGTCATTTTACGAAAAACCCCTTATATTTTTCGGAAATCAACCCGCGCTCCAGACGCCCTCTCAGTATATTTTGCAAAAAACACCTCAGATTATTTCAAAATCAACCCGCAGTCCAGATCGGATGGCTCCGGGTTTTTTTGCAAAGAAGACCTTATCTTTATCGAAAATCAACCCACGCTCCAGAGACCCTCTCAACAATTTTTTCGAAAAACTCCTCAGATTTTTCTCAAATCAACATACAGCCCACCTCTGATTATATCTCTTTTTTTCCAAAAAAAAATTAGCTGAAACTTTAAAATTGCATCTACGGTGCAGCAGCTAGAGATTCCAGAGCTTTCGTCTCGGGCGTGAGACAAAGCCGTCGCCGCCATCCCCTCCTCACGCCGCTCCGCCGCCGCTTCCACCTGCCACGGGTAGCAGCAGTGAAGCTTGAGGAAGGATAGTGCTAGCTACTCCTACCCCGCCGCCCTCACAGACATGTGCGACGCTGGAAGCGAGTGCGCAACCCATCCCTTCTTCCTCACCCTTTGGCCGCGTCGAACGTGCATGCCCCGCCTCCCTCACAGGCATGGGCGCCGCCACTTCCCTCTTTGCAGGATCAGCCACATGCTCACGTGACGGGCGTGGGCTATACAGTGGAAGCGGATGCAACTAGCGGCGACTGCAAAGGACCGAAGCCCGTAGCACACCGCAAGGCTGATTCCACAGCCAGGAGCCATTGGCCGCGCCACCAAGGTGATGGGAGACCAGCGCGACTTGGGACAACGACGGTGGAGGTGGGGCATGGGGCGATGCCTAGCCTGGATCAATGACACGCTCTATGGTGCCGACTCCATGCTTGCCTCACCTGCTTATGAGGAACGCCCCTAGGTTGTTTGATGAAATGCCTGTTCAGAATGTCATGACTTGGAACACTCGGTTTCATCTGCCTCTGTGTTGGTAAGTACAAAAGATGTTACCTATTTCCTACCTTCTTTTTTATCTGACTATAGGTATTAGAATACTGAATATGGATATAACTAAAGAGAAATTGAAAATGATAAGCATAGCATGGTTTTGAATTGAACTTGCTCTTGGATTTTCAAGAGCACGGTGAACAGCCCCATCATTTCATTGCCTACAGTGGTCTGGTAAACAGCATATATTTAGTCCAAGAGGGATAGTTGTCATGCTTTCACAAGACATCTGGTCATGTAAAAATCTTAGGATATTTTCGACAATACTTGCCTCTGCACTTAGAAAGTCTTGATGGCACACCAAGTGTATAACTTGGTACTGGTACCTTCTTGTTGTTTCCTTTCATCCAATGGCTTAAGGAGCTTTTGATGTTGTTTTCAACGATACACAAATTATTACATATTTGGTAGTTCATATTTCATATTTGGTACTTATCTTAGTTCCTGTTTTGTTTTTATTCTCCAATGAGCTCCAACAGCACATTCAAAT